TATATATATATATTTATAAACACAGAATATTTTAAATTAGTAGTTAATAACAATATTAGCGTCTTTTTAAATAATATCGATTTGTAAAGTGTGATCAATGCTATTGCAGTTCATTAAAGATGCTCAAATTTATAATAATAACAATAAAGATATAATAGCGAATAGAATATCAACTAAAATTAAGGAAATTTCACAAAAATTCCGGATTAGTCAAACCTGGATGGCCAAGGTAGTGATAATGTCTGAACTAACTTCTTTTGAATGCATAAATTAGGCTTGTTAATATGGATCCCAACAGTCAGCCTCAGCAATATTTAGTAGTCCAACTCTTAAGGCAAAATTGAGATTCGTAGGTATGCGATAAATGACCCTGAAAGCATGATTAACGTCAATCTTGTGTTATGTCTCCACAAGATGTGCCAGAATAGCGCTGTGAATAGATTTTGTTTGACCTTTGATTAACCAGGCAGGGTGATGTTCGGATAGGCCGCACATAGGCCGTACAATTAGGCATGTTTCACGTCGAATTTCCGAACATCACCCTGCTTGGTTAATCAAAGGTCAAACAAAATCTATTCACAGCGCTATTCTGTCTCATCTTGTGGAGACATAACACAAGATTGACGTTAATCATGCTTTCAGGGTCATTTACCGCATACCTACGAATCTCAGTTTTGCTTTAAGAGTTCGACTACTAAATATTGCTGAGGCTGTGGGGATTCATATTAATAAGCCTAATTTATGCACCCAAAAGAAGTTAGTTCAGTCATTATCATTAACTTGGCCATCCAGGTTTGAATAATCCGGAATTTTTGTGAAATTTCCTTAATTTTAGTTGATATTCTACTAGCTATTATATCTTTATTGTTATTATTATAATTTAAGCATCTTTAATGAACTGCAATAGCATTGATCACACTTTACAAATCGATATTATTTAAAAAGACGCTAATATTGTTATTAACTACTAATTTAAAATATTCTGTGTATATAAACATATATATAATTGTAGAGCCTGGAAGAAGAATTTATCGCAAAGAATATTCTTTGCTCGATTATTTTGTGTTTTACAGAAACAGTATTATCGCTGTAAAGGTGTAGAAAGTGGTTTTGCGAAAAAAGTTTTGAATGATGAAAAGTTTGGATTTCTGTCCACAATGCTAGTGATGGTGAAAACATAGAGAATCTAAATGGTTTAATCTAACCCCTTTTACCTTTAGAAAAAAAGTAATAATAATTTGCTTTATTTCAAAACAGTACTTGTGATACAGAATGGAATTCTCAGCATTTTACTACAGTATTGCATCCAGTTAGTACATCATCAATAAATAGAATTCTACATAGATTAAGGAAATCTCAGTTCATTATGACAACAACCTAATGGCATGTCGGTAGCAAAGCCGAAATTGAACAGAGTGTTTGAAGGTGCTTAGAAAAGTAGATGCTAGCATATTTACTGGCGTAAGCGGTAACAAAAAGGTCTAGGTATACAGAGTGTGAAAGAACGAAGAAGAATGTTTTCAATAGAATTTGTAAGGAAGAAAGAAACAAAGCAGCACATAACAGAAAAAAAGAGAGAAAAGGAAAAGAAAGAAAGAAAACGTTGTACCTGTAAATGATATGAGTTGGAAAGACGAGATCCAGTTGTTCTACTGACTATTTAATAAGTTATAAGTTTCACGCCTAATGCTTTCTTTATCGCACAGAACACGAGCTAAGTAGGGTATGGTTGAGTTATTGTACTTGCTGGTGCGGGCATATAGTGTTCTATATAGGCTTCTGGTTCTGCCTGGTGAGATACAAGGGGAGAGTTGTGAATGAAGAGGGTGGTGTGAGTAAGATAAAATGGATTTAGCCCATTTTTCACATGAATTCAAAAGAGGAAGCTGAACGATCCCAAAATATGTTTTCAAACAGATTACACACTCACTCTGTTGTGCTGTATTCACCTTTCAAGGACTAAACCAGATGATGTCAAGCAAAGCACTTACAGATAAACCGTCTACAAAGTTCAACGTAACTAGATCTAGAAAATCAAAACAAATGATTCAGCGAAGAGACTCTTCTCAACGAATTTATCATGCATCTCTGAGGATAGCCTTTACTAGTCGACCATTATTGTTCAATAATCTGAAGGACAAGATCCCGCTGTTGACCAACTCTATGTGTGTTTATCAATTCATCTGCTCGTGTGGAGCTAGGTATATCGGTCGTTCGACACGAGTTTTGTCCAAGAGGGTGCAAGAACACTATCCTGCATGATTACGAAAAGATGGAAGTGGAGCAACAAGAAGCGCGATCATTGAACATCTGGTCGATAATGATCACCCTATCTCTATAGCCTCCGCCTTTAAAGTCATCTACAAGGCAAAGAGTAATCTACCCAAATCCCTACGTACCCGACTCATCTGTATTGCTGAAGCTTTGGCTATCGAAACAGAAAAGCCAGATCTCTGTGTACAGAAAAAGTTCATTCAACCCCTCCAACTTTCATGGTCTTAATCCCTCTATGCTAAAGTATGGTAATCCCCAATCATATTTTAGCTCTACCAATTTTTCATTTTTTCATTTTTGTCTATTCAATTTGTATACTCTTCCTTATTAAGTCAATTGTTACTATTACTACTCTCACTTTTAATTGTCCCCGGTATTATTTCACTTGTTCCACTTGTCATTCTAAATCAATTCCTTTTTACAACATTAAATTCTATGCTATTAAATTTCACACAATATTACGTAACGTTTTTATTTTTTCGATTTGTCTACTAATCTTATAATTGCACACCTTTTTCAAGTTCTATCCATCCTATGAATTATTCTATATATGACATTAATTTGCTTTGCCACTTGACATTTAACTACGATTATAATCACAAACATTTTAGTTTTAATTACATTTCATATTATTATTATTATTTTATGCATTCACACCTATGTTTCAATTCCCTCACCGGATATAACTTCTTAAAAACCATATATATACGATTGTACAGCTTGATGATAAATTCGTTGAAAAGAGTCTCTTCGCTGAATCATTTGTTTTGATTTTCTATATGTTACAATGGGAATTTTCCATGATTTAAAAAATAGTAATTAGATCTATAGGAAAATGCGAAATAATAATGGGTACACGCAGTATTTTATCCTACACCCATTGTCCCAAAACATACTCCGACTAGACAGTAGGGAGGCTCACATTAGGAGAGTACTATTACACTCGATGTATGCACAAGTGATTACTATCAATTACAAAACTCAGCTTAAAAGTTAGTACTAAACATGCTGTCTAGAAAGATAGTGGAAGCTCCGCAAGTAAATTTATCTAGCAGTACTAAAAACGCCTATGAGTTACAAATTTTCTTCCCCGAATTCAAAATAGTCACTGGTAGAAATGAACTGGTCAAAAGATATGGAAATGGAGTTGAAAACGTGTAACAAATTTGGTTCTCAGTTAAAATAAAAACATACTGAGTTGCAGTCAAAGTCGCCTGATGATGTGTAAGATATACGAAAAAATAAGCTTTCGTTTCTACTTCTACTACTACTAACCATTTTAGAGTACACAGACAATAGACTTACATGTTTCAAGAATAACTCATAATTATGTAGAACAACACATCTAAGCGAACAATATTGTTTTCAATTAGATCTCATCAGCCTTAACTCAGCCTTAACTTAACTTACCCTATTCAGGTAGGTAGTTACCTGGGGTTCAAATGAGAAATCGTGACCAGTAGGGTGCAGCAGGTCGGGTGTGAGGACAGATACTCGCCAACGATGACATTGGCTAGCGGTTGCGCTATGTCGTGAATTCGCAGAAGTTAGAATTCGTGGACTGGCTGAACATTGAACCGGGTCCCATTGGCTTAATGGTCTGCGAGCTCGCTCGCCTAGTAACCAGAAGGTCCTGGGTTCGAATCTCGGTGGGTGCGTACTGATGAAGGGTCTCAAACTAGACTGACGAAACAGCCATCCAGTACTCCCAGCTGGTTTTCCAATGGTTCTCTAACTAATGTCACCTCGTGATGAAATCCTGTAACCAATCATATCCCTACAAACCAACACTTGAACATTGTTTTCAATTAGATCTCATCAGCCTTAACTCTAAAATACATTGCTTTACAAATAAAAATTCAAATATAAACCAATCATGGTGTTTTGTCAATAGGATAATAAGATGGTTAATATAAATTGTTCAATTAGTCATAATAGTAGTAATGATTATAATAATGGTTTTACCAATAATAAGAATGAAAAAGTGAGGCAATCTGTGATAACACGAATAGTGAAAAACAGCATGATTAAACAAACAACTGTTCAGGTGGAAGTAGTCGATAAAGGCTAGTAAAAACAAATGAACCGATTAAGTAATGTTAGATTGTAAGGGAAGTAAATGAAACACGTTTTTAATGAAGATGAGATAAGATTAAGAGATGATAAGAGATGAAGGGGTTGAAAATATAAGTAAGGGGTGGAGTAGAAGTCATCAGTTGGTTATGTCTTAATAGGCCAACAAAGGAGGGATAATGGCTGTGTACGAACTTCTGTTGAATGCATAGTTTAGGTTTAATAGTTCGAATGCCTATCGCCTGCCTCAGCTGTGTGCAGCAGACAAATACGAAGTCTATTGGAAAGATTCGGTGGGATACGATGAATTGCTTTGAAAGCTCTAGTTTCCTCCACTACATGACCGCTATCAACTAAATGTGACAAAATTGAGCTACGGATTGTTTTTGTCTGTCCTTTGCCAAACCACCACAATGGGAGATGTTCAATAGTGACACGTTGGCTAAGCTGTCTAGTAGTAGGGTGCCCAACATAACTGTCACCGCAGCTGCATAATTTATGTCACAGTCAAAAAGATTGACAATCCTCAAAATCCTTCACAACTTTCAAAACTAATATTCACATATTACTCAAAAGTTGATATTTAGAATTTATTATAGTGAACAAAAAAACAGTTGAAATAACGAATGCCAAATATCTTTATAGCGACTTACCTCATTTGTATTTCTTACATTGTATCCGACGATCAAATAAATTATATTACTACAAACAAAAGGTATATGATTTGATTTGCATAAAAATGTGCCAAAAAATTGGATAATTTTACTTGATGGTAAAAATTCACCATTTCCAAACCATTCAACCACTGGTTCTACAGCTTTTATAAACGGTGCTATAAAACGTATAGGACTTTGTATAGAGCCAAGATAAACAGCTGGAGCAAGTGCAATAAATAAGTTGACACGGGATTGCAGATACGGATGTTCATTGAAACAGGCTAATGCAACTTGACAACCCTAAAAAGAAAGGTAAATTTTAAAAGATCAGATTGTTCAGATTTAATTGGTTGAAATTTTAACTAATTGGAGGATTTCATCATAAATTGACATCGGTTAGACAACCATTGGGAAACTAGCTGGGAGTACTGAACTGCTGTTTTGTCAGCCTAGTTTGGGACTCCTCATCAGTATGCATCCACCGCCAGAGTTCGAACCCAGGACCTTCTGGTTACAAGTCTAGCGAGCGCATTGACCATTAAGCCACCGGGACCCAATCTAATGGCCAAAGAATTCTAACTTCTGCCAATTCATGACTGAGCGCGACCACTTCTCAATATCTTCTCCGGTGGGTGCGTACCGCTGAAGAGTCCTAAATTAGGCAAACAAAACAGTTAGCTGTCCAGTACTCCCAGTTGCCTTTCCAGTGGTTCTCTAATTAATGTCAGCTCATGATGAAATCCTCCAACCAATCAAACAAAATTCCTGCAAAACAAACGCTTGAAATTTTAATGCTGACTTATTCCTTAAATAATGTGTTCTAAGTAAGCTGTGGCAGTCAGCTGACATCTACGTGATTAACACAGTCTAGTCTTGCTTTTAATTTTTAATAATGTATACATGACATCAAAGAAAATATCCAAATAGAGAAAGAAAACATCGATAAGAAGAAGAAAAATAAGGGTAGACTACAGACTGCAGTTGACAAAACGCCCAAAATAAAGTGAACAAACTTTATTGAATCAATCTTACTGTTGTTTATACCTTAACCAAATATACACATCAATGGAAAAAAGTTTATGAATGGCTGACTCATTTCAACGCAGAACTTTCCACTAAAGTCTGCTTCAAGGTGCAACACCCCATAAAAGAGCACATACAATTAGAGCAAAGGAATACTTTGATTGGACACTAATCAGTAACTAGTGTAATGTGTCTAGTCCTTTCTTTGGTGCGAACTGAATTCTGTCAGTCACGTTTGCAATGTGGCCACCATGCCACTACATAGCTCACCATCACGGTGTACATTGATTTGATGATATTAGGTGGCTGTAGCACGAAACCTAGGTCCAAGGCTTCCTGCCGATTGCCTCCAACCACCCTAATAGAGCAAAGGAATGTTATAGAAACTACAATTAGCAAAACAAAGTACAGAATAAAAAGTAATTGGATGAAGATTAGCGAGAATTTTGTGAATCTTCAAGAAGTACAACATATATCTACCACCATCGTGAACGATTTTTTTAGCTTTGTCACACTCCAGTCGAGGTAGTCTAGGCCTCCGTATGTAACACTTGAAACATGAACTAACGCTGTTTTTGGTTTGACCACCACGGCAGCCTACTTGAACTACTAGGCTACTACCAGAATTTCTATTCATCAAAAAATCCTTAAAACTTTCTGTATTTCTTATTGTTTTAATCATGCAATTAATTCAAATGACCACCACCATATGGACTCGTGCACACCTTTAATTAGCTTTCAACAAAACACTGTGCATTAGTTGGAGGATTTCATCATGAGATGACATCAGTTAGAGAGAGAACCAATGGAAAACCAGCTGGGAGTACTGAACAGTGAGCTGTTTCGTCCTAGTTGGAGACTCTTCATCAGCATACATCCACTGACAGGGTTCGAACCCAGCACCTTCTGGCTACAAGGCGACCTCATGCAATTCTTGAAGGAAATGAAGAAAAAATTTACTGATTTGGTTCTTTCTTCATATGCGATAACACCACATCACATGAGATACTTCAGATTATTACTTTACATGTAAATGTTGCATTGAAAAACGTAATATTTTGGAACTAAATACGCTAAAAATTTCTATATATTATGTGTTCATTTATTGTCTGAAATAAAGCTTCACTATTAAACAAATTAGATCTTTTTCAGCCCAATCCTATTTCAGTGGACATTAGTCGTTGGGGAAAGCCTCAGTTTGACATACGCTAGCCATCTCAGCAGAAGTAGATTCGCAGTCGACTGTCCGAATCCCTGAAATAACTGAAGAAAAAGAACTAGTGTAGTGTAACCACAGAAGCCAATCATAAAGAACACATATGGAGGTGGTGTAGAGTTTCACTTATACAGTATATCTCACTGTTAGCCACAAATGCTTCATTTTTAAGACCGATCTTCTTTGATACCTCTTTCCAGCAGACCAGGAAGGCAGAATAGCTGGCTTGTTGGTTGTCTGAGAGAAACACCTCAATCCGTCAGCAGTGTGACTTATCCCATCTAATAAAATTATCCATAAGATAGCATAATAAAGCCCACAGAATAATAAATGATTTTTTGTCACGTGATGTTTCTAGATAAGAAAGTATACACCTTTTTTAAACAAATATCATCTGATTACTTTGACCTACATATTATGTACACACTGAAATACCACTGAGGTTTTTTTCCCAATTCATCATTTCATAAGTTTACTATAGTCTTGCTATCTCATGTACATTTATAAAACAAACAATCCATTATTTTTATTCCTTTACGTTCCCCCAGTGGAACATTGGGGTCTTCAAGCTAGAGGCTTGAAGTTTCAGTAGCAGTGGTGTTTATTTTTACGGGATGGGGTTGCTGTTGGTCTCTTGCTTAACCTTCCCTCTCTACCAGTCTTATTACTGGCTTAACAAGGTAAAGGAGTGCATCAGCCGGGGATCGAACCCCGAACCACATGTGTGGTTGGCGAGCATTCTACCGCTGTGTCACCGACGCACATTGGTGAACAGTAATATTTAGCCAATGCTAGCTGATAAATAGACTCTGAGGTTTAGTATTATGAAAGAAGAAAAGTAATCTGTAGACTAAAGAAATGACTGATTTTTCTAAAAATTTTCAAAAGAATGGACACGGAAAAAAGAGTACTCTTTTCGATAAATTCATCATCAGGCTCTACAATTATATATACATTATAGTGAATGAATGAATTAGTCTTATGAACGACATTAATGTTTAAATGACATCGAATCAATAATATTGACAGATTACAGCTGAACAGCATCAACATAAAATAAACTGAATGTCAGAAGAATTAGGAAAGGTAATAGTACAGATTCATGAGTTTATAGTCTCTACTGAGGGTCAGGGCAGTAGTAGGGGCTGGACTTGTTTCTTTTGAACACAGAGCACACTGGTTGTTTGAGGCGAATTGCAATAGCCTCTGCTGTTTGGAGCATGCGGTGCTTCGACGATTTTGGTAATTTGTTAGGCGCCCGGTATATTATAGAGAAGGATTCTTCCACACTGGCTGGCTTTGTGACCGGTTTGCACCAGATGGTCTAATATCGAGCTGTTAATAGTTTTCACTACACCTTTACTTAGCCATACTGGGAGATGTTCTCGAGTGAGCACGAAAAATCAAGTTCCTAGAGCCACGGCGAATATTGGGAAATTTTTGTTATGCAATTATGTATACCACCTAAATACCTAGACGAAACTAAATTAAGTGTAAAATTTATATAATTAGGTTGGCATTTAAACTAACCAACCCACTCAGAGACAAACTCTGTTGGCTTAAGCACCGGACAGATCCAATTCAGAAAAAAAAGAAGTGTAATTTACGAAATACCAAGTAATAGCTGCATAGTCAATTGCATAGGTAAAACTAGTAGATCCGGGATCAATTAGATTGTCAGAATATAAGAATTTAACTAGAGCTAGAAGGATTTATACTGCTAAGTTCAATAATCTAGGAAAAAAACTCGACCATTGCAATGCATTCACTTGCATGTATTCATAAAATAGGATAAAATAGTAGTATTAAAAAGTAATGTAGGTAAGTGGAGAGAAAAATTAAGCACCGAATCTTTCTTCATCGAATCAACATCAAGAATGTGCAGTCGAAATGACGTAACCACCTATAGTGAAATATAAAATATGCAATAGACAAGGCAGAAAGGAAAATGTGTAGTCATGTGATGAATACATTGATTGTGATATGATTATGAACAACTAATTGTCTTCGAAATGTCATCCAATTAACAATACTGTATCACTGTGTTTTATTTATATCAATGAAATAAATTCATCTAATGTGATAGATACTTTTACAAAAACCTGATTAATTTGTGAAAGAAGAATACTGCATCAGAATGCACTCTTTTTGCCAAATAGATTTAAACATTTAATAGTCAGTGACAGTGATGAACACAATAAGAAACCGTATTGAAGTATTTATTAGTTCTAACAATGAAAGCTGATTTTACTGTATTTAAAAATTTTGTAATTGATTTACATTTCAAAGTAGAACTTTGCGTAGAATTTAGTCAATTAAACTGCATTTACTTTCTCTCTCTCTATGCATGAAAATTAATGAATACAATCAGCAATAAATAATCTTGGAAACTGCCATAGAAAATACAGATTTAAGTATTGGTTTGTAGGGATAGTGACCAGTAGGGTGCAGCAGGTCGGGTGTGAGGACAAATACTCGCCGAAGACATTGGCTAGCGGTAGCGCTATGTCGTGAATTGACAGAAGTTAGAATTTATGGGCTGGCCATTGGATCGGGTCCCAGTGGCTTAAAAGTCCATGAGCTCGCCTTGTAATTAAAAGGTCCTGGTTTTGACCCCCTGCAGTGGGTGCATACTGACGAGGAGTCCCAAACTAGGCTGACGAAATATCTGGCTGTTCAGTACTCCCAGCTGGTTTTTCAATGGTTCTCTAACTGATGTCAGCTCATGATGAAATCCTGTAACCAAATACAGATTTACTTGAGGAATTACAAAGTAGGTATACTTACTAATGATTATGTATCCAAACCAAGCACAGTTTATGTTATTTTGTACAAATACGTACCACATAATCCTGAAGCCTACTGATTTCACTCGAAGTATACTTCACGCTTCGCTCACTAAGTTTTTTTTATTAAGAAGGATAATGAGAAGAAATAATCATACCAGGTATGCACAACATCAAGACAGTTGTATGGATAACTAACATATGAATGAGGAGGAAACTTCACATTTGAATCGGAAAATGAACAAGGAGAATTAGCTATGTTAGATTGTAAAATA